AATGCTTAAGACTAAACTATGGCACGTCATTTCGCAACATTTCGCAACTTTTATTGGGACATTTTTTAATAGGACCCTCATTCTAGTGTTAAGAGTTCCGAGGGTTTGCCAAGTTATATAGGGTCTAGGGGGGTTTACAAGATTTTGGTTGAATTCAACTCTGACCGTATTGGCTGTCGAGTCGGTGTAGACCAAGGTCATCAGGTCCTCCGTCACAGCCACAGAGCTGACTCCAAAACTGACCGCCGGATTCGAGTCGCCGGTACATATGGGAGTCTGTGTTTGGGCCTGGGCTCGCGTTAAGCGGTGCAGGATAATTGGGGGAGGCCAGCGTGTGCGATGGGGTTCGGAGTTTCAGATCACAAGGTTTAGGGTGCAGGGCTCTGACACAGAAAGCACAATGCAAGCTTCAAAATGAAACGCGCTCTCGGTTCTCACTTCTTTGCAAAACTCATTCGAACCTTGCGGCTTCATCCTCTAGTCCAAATACCCTCCCAGAAGGCAAGCTTCAACATGAACCACGCGCCATAATATCATGGATGTTCATCGTGCTCTCACTTCCCTACACAGCTCACTTGAACCTTGCAGCTTCACCCTCCGCACTGCTAAGTACCCGCTCAGAAGGTAGAATATGGACGACTCTCTTTGTCCATTCCCATTCACACTTGTTTAGGGATGAGTGCTGCCTGGGGCCGTCTCTGGGAGGGTTCAGGATGTAAGTACCTGACTTTAGGGGTTGAAGCGAAGCTTGCACAACATCGAGAAAGGGGCTGTTGCTGCTAAATCTATCGAACGTTACCATGCCCACCGCAGCATATGAACATACCACGCATCCACTGCATAGGGACAACGCTCGAACAGGCGAGGGCAAAGGGCGCGACACAAATTTAGGCGTTGCAGAACTCTAATTGCAATGGCTCTTGGCTGCAATCATAAATAAGAGCCCAATATTAGTATATAACAAGCTTGTCCAACCCCCGGTCCCAAATCATTTGGATCAAGCCATGTCAAAGTCAAGGCTCTGATTTTGCTCTGATCTGTGCTCGTGCCTCCAGACGAGCGCGAATCTCTCAAAGGAGAGTCTTCCAACAACTTGGGGCTGGGCTTTCAGGCAATGTTCTAAATACTGAGACCTTGTCAATGTGCGGGCAACCCGTCAGGCCACAACGCACCAAAAGCAAAGTTATAGACGCCTCAACCTGGCAAGCTTTGCAACTTGGCTCTCCTCTCTGCCTTGTTCAGAGACCTCGACGGAGCCAGAATGCATCTGAACCCTCATATGCGGAGCAGAGTGCATGAGGTTGCACGGGTGGGGTCAAGGGTTCATATCCCACAAAGTTTCAGCATTAGAGGACGTCGTCCTCAACAGTAGACTGAATAGTGGATGCCTGGGCGAGCGTCGGTGTTGGCGCCGGTGATGGCGCCTGCGCAAAGCGTTCAATCAGCCACTGCACAGAAGAAATAAAAACACGCACTTGCCGTCAAACATCACAGGAACGGCAAGACAGCATTCGAAAGGATAAAACCCATCATGTCACCCGAGCACTTTCTGAACGGGCTGAATGGGTTTGAACAGATTCCGAACGCGTTTGAACGGGCTCCAAGATGCCCTCGAACAAACATTACACATTAAACGAAGGCGTTGAAATTACAAACCTCGCGCCAGATTATCACTGTTGCCAGGAAGAATCCCCACGTGCCCTCGAACGGGCATTCTAAACCAGCGTTCAAACTTCCACACCTCGTATCGGATTACAACTGCTGGCCAAAAAACCATTCACAACGTGACCTTGGACGGGTATTAGAAACAGGCGTTGAAAATGTTCACACCTGTATCAGATCAATTACAACTGCTTGCGAAGATTACAACTGTTCGACCTGCGCTGGGGTTTCAGGCTCTCGTCTTGCGGAGAGTCTCCACAGGTGTGGTGCTTGGGATTCATCGGGTCAGGGCAAGCGTTGGTCATTTTGCAAGGCAGAGTGGGCGCTTCCGACTGGTTGCATCTGCAAACGACAACTCGCAGCAAGAGGGCAAAGGCTTTGACAGTAGGGCTGAGGGCCAGGCGGGTTGCGGAAACTCCGGAGCAGGATCGGGTGCGCCCTCATGTGTCTTTCAAAGGAGGCTACAGAGGTTTGGGAGCGTGGGCAGCTTTGGAACCAAGATGTTTCCCCAACGAGACGGCTTCTGGCTGCATCTGAAACAGCAACAACCCGCAGCAATGGAGGCAAAAGCTATCACATTGCGGGTCAGGCCGCAACACGCAACAGCAAACACGGGTTTAGGCTTTGGGGTTGGGCAGGTGGGGTAGAGATCAAGGGGCCGCTTTGTTACTGCAGCCCTGGATCGTTTTCGCAGGCCGCAAAGAAGCTCACACGATTCCATGTGCAGCACCCCTTCCTCAGCACAGCTTGAATTCAAACCTTCCACAACCTTTGGGACCTAGCAGTTGGAGCCCCATTGACCATGGACATTAAAGCCATATGCAGGCTAGCCTTCTGGGGGTGTTGTTTGTGGCTTCAAGGCTACCATCTTGAGCTGTGGAGTTTGAAAAGATGAAGCTCGTGCCGGTGCTTCAGGTTTAGGAGGGGCTGTAGCACGTGGCGGTTTGAGGGTTCAGGGGTCAGCTGGAGGCTGTTAGAGTTCAGGATTTGGGGGTCGGCTGTAGCACGTGGCGGTTTTTAGGGTTCAGGGGATAGGTGTAGGCTGTTAGAGCTCAGGATTTAGCCGCACGATGGCCGGTGCTCAAGGCAAGGAGAGCCAAACTAATTTAAGATCTGCTGCTTCCACGTGAGCTGAAGCTGATAATTGAGGCTTATGTGGGGGAAGCCGAAGCCACAGATCCTGCAACCTGAAATCCTCAATTCTGCGTACTGCACGCCCTTACACAGATCTGCACGCTACCAAAAAGCATCTCTTCAAGCCCCCTCACCGCAATGTTGAAACCCACCACAACCTTGATATTATTAACCACTGTCAGCCTGTTAGTGTGTACCACGAAGTGAATATGAGTGTTTAGGGTTTAGGGTCAGGGGTGTGG